AAAAAATCTCAGTAGTAGCACGGAGTCTGGAATTGTGCCAGGTATATGGCAATAGCCAATAGGTCCCTTATTACATGGGACTCATAACATAAAACGTGAAATGTGGGTGTTACATTGTGCAGTGGCATTAAATGCCGTAATGTGCATCTCTGCGTACCCCTCTGGGGATAAAAGGCGTGATGTTATTTTATGATAAACGATGATTGGACCTATCCAATTTCATGTTTAAAACAAGCAAGCCAATGTTGACCTATATTAACTAGTATATCATTCCCTTCTAGGATTTAGAGGCGTGATGTTATGTTATTTACATGGGTGAATCCAAAGTTATATACGAACGCTGCTCATTAAGAAATTTCCAAAATGATACGTATATTCAAAATGTAATTATAATTAGTGGTGGTGTATAATTAGAATATTAGTAGCTACGTATGTATTCTCTTTAGTTAGGTGTCCGTCATGCTGAAAGCCTGTCACTCAACGTTATCCACACTGTGGTCGCTCACGCTCGCCTCGCCAGCTCTAACGCCACTTTCACGAACATTAAATAATTTGCCATTACTTTAAATAGCGTTTTGCGAATCTCAACTTTAAATGTGTTAGTTGAGGTTTGATTTTAAAGTGTCAGATATTTATCAATTTTGATACTTTAGTTCGTTGTTTAGTTACATGAATTTATAAAAAATATTGGTATAGTTATTGGAATTGAATTTTGTATTGTTTTTTCTTTTGTCCTTGAAAACACGTAAAGAAGTGAAATTGGTATGGTAATTTGTAAAGGTATTGTTACACATGCTTGCTAATATCAAGCACAAAAGCGATCGACAGGCGTTCGATTCGCAAACATGCTTGAAATAAGCACGCTAATTTTGAGTAACATTCCGACTCACGTGCTACTAAGTGACATTTAACAATAGTATTTCTAGAGTATTAAAATTTAAAACCTAATTAGTCTGTCAGTTAGATAATGAAAAAATATTAGACACGTATTTTTTTTATTTTCTCGTATTAAGTTGCAATACTTAGATAAAATGGCGCTGAATTTGGGAGTGGGCCGTCGTTCCGTCATAACGTGCTACAAAATATGACACGCTGTGATGTCATACGATATTTCAAATTAATATATCGTCGAAAGTATATAATTTTGTGAGAAAAGAAAAAAATACGTGTGTGATGTTTTAAATTAATGTACCAGACGGACATACAATAAAATTTGGGAAACTATATTAATAGGGATGCTTTTATAAGCATGCTCAATAGAACGTCTTTTAGCATGCTGTTATATAACTTGTATACCTATATTATTATTATCACAATCTACTTTTTACCTATACTATTGTAGACAAACACATAACGAAACATCGCCGTCGATTTTATTATTATTCTCATATATTTATTTTAAATTCTCTATAAAATACATTTTTAAATACTACTTACAAAAACATAAAAATAATATTTAAAAATATAAAAAATAGGAGCCGACCAGTAGCGGGAGCATGGTCCAAGCTACCGGTGGTTAGGGCTCCAGAGACAGAAACCTCCTCACGATACGTGCCGTTTCAAGGAGAACTGCCTTCTGTATCAGGCCCTTGACCCAACTGCCTAACGCTAGCCTCCTAAGGTGGTTGTCGAGGCTATTAGGGATTAACCCATTGGCCGACACGACTATCGGCACAATGATAGCCGAATCTACATTCCACATGTCGACAACCTCGTGAGCCAAATCAAGATATTTGATTTGTTTATCTTTTTCAGCTTTCACGAGGTTCTCATCATGAGGAATAGTGATATCGATTATCATCGTGCGGCGCACTTGTCGGTCTATCACCACTATATCAGGTTTGTTCGCTATAATAGTCCTGTCAGTGATGATAGACCGGTCCCAGTACAACGTGATATGGTCATTTTCATTTTTATTCTTATCTTTATAATACCTCGGCTCGTTGATATTACCTTTCTGCAGAATCGAGCCCACAACCTTTCACTTGATATTTACGCTTGCAACCACCCTACCCAACATTTACACCCCAACCCTAAATACCATAATCGACATAATCGTAAAAATCGCATCGGAATCGGTATTTTAAATCGATAAATCGTTGTGTCAACAGACATGGATTCATGGTTCAGTGAGCAACGTATTGAGCCGTATAAAAGAATGTGTCAGTAGCTTCCGAGTCATTTTCTATATTGCATCAACAGATGTACCGACTTTGAAGAAACCTGCCTAGGGGCTTGTCGTCTATGTACAAACGATGTATAAGGATTGTCTTACAATAAAAATAGACTTTGATAATTGTGTCGTTGTGGTCCGGAGGTTTAAGACGCCTTTAAGACGCCCAGCTCTCATGCATGAGGGTGCTCGTTCGAAACCTACCAACAAGTACCAATGTGACTTTTTCCGAGTTATATGTACTTTCTAAGATTATCTAGACACCACTGACAAACGGTGAAGAAAAACATCGTGAGGAAACCTGGGCTTATAATTTCTAATTATATGTAAGTTTGTAATCGCCAATTGAGGAAGCGTGGTGATTAATGTTAAAACCACCGTGTGAGAAGAGGCTTTGCTCAGCAGTGGACATATAGGCTGTTGATGAAAAATAAACTCTAGGATACAAAATGTTATATACATTTGGGGGAGAAAGGGTCTTGGGTTCGATTCTCGGGCCGCGCAAAGTATTATTGGGTTTTTAAAAAAATGTCAGTACTAGCACGGAGTCTGGAAATGTCGCCTGGCTGGCAATAGACTCACCTCCTATTACATGGGACTCATAGCATTAATAGTGAAAATTGGTGTTACAATGTACAGTGGCACTGCCGTAATGTGCACTTCTGCCTACCTCTTCGGAGATAAAAGGTGTGATGTTATGTTATGAGTCTAAAATAGAAATTCACGTTGATAAAGCAATTGAAATAAATGAAACGGTAACATTCCCGTTCTAATAAATTCATAGCCAAAATAACAAAGCCCATATTACTTCTTAACGTATATTAGAATTCACTCATTTCTGAACTCAAGTATTTTTAGAATAATATTAGAACGTATTTATGAAAATATACGGCTCAAAATACTATAACTTAGAAATGTGTATTTAGTACCTAATTAGTTCTAGTTTATTAATTTATGTCGTTGGTTTCATTACAATATGAGCCATTATTGACAGTTTTGAAAAAGTCTACAGAGTCAAAGTCTTTTTTAGTATTATTTGTAAACCCGATGTTGTATGACTAAGTATTGAAAATAACATATGTAGACATAATGATTCTTATTAGGTATTTTGTAAGTAGAGTAAGTACTCTTGCGGTGCCCACAAGGGCCTATAGTTGGAACATATTTTGTCAAAAATTGTAAACCATCCTGTACACACTATAGATGCATTAAAGTGATTTGACTTGACTACATCTTTTACAAGAAAATACTAACATTTTACAAACGTACTAGTCATAATCGAATCAAATAGTATTCGCAATCTTTAGCACAATTTTATCATCTATCTCAAAAAAGAAGTCACATTCAATCATGCCAACTTTATGTCACACCCTTATTTGTTATTAAAGAATGAAAGAAGGATCAAATAAAACAACATATCTTTAATAGACCCCGTAAAAAAGCAGCTTCAACCTAATTTTTTTAGCTAATATTTTTTTCTTAAAAAACTTTGCCCCACATTTGGATTTTCTCCTGTGTCGTGGGTGCGTTTACAAACATACAAGTTCACATACACAATGACACCCAGACCCGAAACAACAATTTGTGGATTACAAAAGGTGTGGATCTTGACAATTTGTGGATCACACAAAGTGTTGTTCCGTGCGGGAATCAAACCCGCGACACGTTGCACGACAGGCGGTTGCCCAGCCACCGCGCCAACCGTGCAATTAATACACTAGAACCATTTCCTAAGAGTAACAAACATATTTCTTAAAACCTTAACAAAATCCAATGGTTTAGCCAATTGCAAGATAATCTTGTACAAACAAGCATACAGGTTAAATTGAAAACCTCTTTATTTTAATTACTTTCGAAGTCGGTTAAAAACTACATCATTTCTGTGAAAATACATTTAAGATGCAGATAAAATAATTACTTACATTTCTATTCCTTATTTCACATGTTTCCCTCAAAGCAAGATTAAATTTAAATGAGACGCTTCGTCTTAATGATTACCACGCAACTATTTATGTTTTTGTTGAAAAAAAAACTATTTGTGAGCGCACGAGACATTCTGTGTATAATTACGTCCTTAAGTAGTATTTATAAAACGCTTTTAATTAGTTTACTGTTAAAAATAACTGAAGAGCAAAGGTGTTTTTTCTGTATACTAGGAAGTCGTTACCTTTATAAATCACTTACATAACATAACATCACGCCTTTTATCCTCAAGCGCGGGTCACGAAATGCTGCTCATGAATATGAGCCTCTAGCATGACTTGAAACTAGTCGAGTTCCTCGGCAAATAATTACGTGGGCAAGCCGAAAACATAATAATAGGTTCATTCAGATAACATTCAATATTTCATATGCAGTAGCACTGAAATGAACATGGTGCTCGATTTATCATTACCCCTTTTACAATTTGGCTATTTACTTCACAGGCACAAAGTAAATAGTCATGCATGTCTTACATCTTGTCGTTACAGAATTACAGACTCCAAACAAAACAATCATTCGTAAGATTTCAAGCTTAGCAAATTGCAACCAAAATAAACATGACTAAATATCGAAATTTCCACCCGTATAATCCGCATTCGATTGTACAAACGAACACGTTACCTTTAGCACATAAATTATATATTTTTTTCGTCGCGTGCTTACCCACGCGCGTTCCAACATTAACTTATCGTGTTGACATTTAACTCGGCTCCCAAATTGTATGGAATAAGGTAGGCAACGTAATTCACGGTTATAGGGTAAAGGCACCTAACCGTTGAATTCAATTTGAGTGAATTAATGGCAGGAATTTTTTCGCGTGATTTGTTTGATGAAATATTAAAGAATGGCGAGTGAGTAGGTTATCGTTTTACTACGTACTGGGTATATTTTATGGGTTCCCTTATAAGTAGGTATTGATATTTTCTTTGAGATTCTTAGTTATGTTTCTCTGTAGAATTTATTGAGCAACGATATTGGGTGTTTTTAAACATGTAGGTACTTTAACTCGTCGAGTACCGAGTACTCGACGTGTTAAACTAGCTAGTAAGAGTAACATACTAATATGAATGTAAAATAAAGTACAACAATTTTACATTAAATTATTACATATATTACTTCACGCCTGTCTCCCATGGGGGTAGGCAGAGACTATGAACGCCTATTGCTACGATTCTTACATACCTCTTTTGCTTCATCAAAAGTCATCAAATAAATAATATTGTTTATTTGAAGCAAATACAAAACCATCTTCACAAACCCAAAAATAAATGTATAAAACCAATTTCTGAAACGAATATAGACTTATTACACACATGATTCACTTCTCGACCTTAAAACAAAATGAAAAAGAGTATTTATTAAGAAATAGTACCAGAAAGAGAATAACAGAATAATGGCATTCGCTTAAATTACATTCCCAATAAGTTACAACTGAATTTATCTTTCTAGGTAGGTAACTGTTAATTAAATATAAGCGATGGCGGAAAATACTCGCTGATCTACCTAACAAATTATATGAATTTAGAAGATTTATAAAACCTTTACCTACCTATTTTAGATTTAAGTGACGCATAAAGCATTATTTTACTGTAGTTGGGGTTTTCAAACAACTTATCCAGGCCCTGGTATCGAATCCAAATTTATTATAGGAATAAGAATTATGAATAATTAGGAAAATCAATGAGATAATCACTTATCACAAATTAGCCACATTCAATCGCGAATTTGTTTGATAAAATTTAGTGGAAATGCAAAATGGTCTATTTTAATGCTGTGAGCCTAAAATTATGAATTAGGTATCATCTAGTCATTAACTTTAATACAAAATCACATTATGAAACCAATCAGCAAAATATATCAAATCCTTTTTATCAAACAAATAATATTTCGTATCAGAAATAAATATAAATTAATATCGAAAACATCACAAAATAACACGCTATTAATTTCAACGTAAATTATAAACATTTTCTCGTCTTTATTTATAATGCGGACGTATCATAAATATGTTTTAATCTTGAGTCACGTATTTTCAATAAATCGCTCTCACAAATCGCTGTCGCCGATCCCCTACTACCGACCGTGTCCTCACAAGAAAACAGAATGCATGGACATCGAGAATTATTACTGCTCGGACGGTAGCAGGTGCGTTCGCCCCACCAATAAGACTTAGTAGTCTATATTCGTACGAACTTATGGTTATTGCAAGATATTAGAGCGAGATCGAAACGCTTAGTTGTGGATTTATGAATCTATTTATTTTTAAATAAAAAATGATGTTGTGACTCGTCCATTTTAGGGTAGTTTCAAGCATTCTATTTGGTCATTTCAAATAAATAAACTTTAATAAATTATGGATAAATAAATGGTGGATGAAGTCTTAAAACGATGTCTAATAAATTATTTTTACTCAAGTGATCTGTCAAATTTATGAGGGAATATGTCATGTGATTTATCATTGTACTAAAGATTATCATCTTTATTAGACCAAATATAGTTTTGGTATAATTTATTAGACCAAACCAATCAATTTCAAGCAAGCAAAAACATCATAAAAAACCCTTTATCCACATGCTTTTTGTGAGCTTTTTTAAAAAGAACCTGCTGCAAAATTCAATCTATTCAACATTAATTCTCGGAAACGAAAAACAATGGATTGAAAAAATATATGCTTTCTAATTTTATTTTTATACGTCAACGATTGTCGTGATGGAACGCAAAAATAACAAAACGCATCACATGCCTGTCCAATGGCAATAATACCCTCTCTATAAACGCTAAAAAATACATGCGAGATAAATATCAAAGACAAAATTAAATTAATGCTACAAGCCTTGTCGGGTAACGACAAAAAAAGAATCCGCGTTCTGTATTCATTGTTTCTGGTAATCCTCCGGGGGCTCGCTCGCGTTATGATATCTGTACAGAAAAAAAAGAAAAAACTCATTGTGATGCATTGGACTCGAAGCAAAATTCGCTTTCGAAAAGATAAGGGGGCTAGGTTAATAGAATTATCTAGAAGCTTCCCCGTAGCCAGCTTGTGTGTGATTTTATCCTTCCTTATTTTTTTAGTGACTGGGATACTTTGTCCTTTTACTGTTTATAAATGCAAGATTTTCTCTGAATCTTTTATTCAGTTTGCTTGGTCTTGGTATTTAGATAGTGAGTTCACCTTTTACTGTCGGAGATTGCTTCGTCCACTCACTTAGTGTAACTTGTATGCATAGTAATTCTCTTCGATTGCTGTCTAATTAAATTACGGAGGAGCTCTGCGCTGTTACGCCCACACGTATTGGTGGAAGTGATCTCGATAGGGCATCGTATGCTTCGCTTGGCCTGTCAGCTACATCAATTAGAAACTCGAGGCATTTAGTTGATTGTGGAGTAGTAAATTGAATCTATGACATACAATATTGACACTTACAACGTTTATACAGTCTTAGTAAACACGTTCAATGTTGTTTGATAGACTAATTTGTTTGAATGTGAATTCCCTTTAGAATAAGCAAAGCTACTTTGCAATGAAATAAACTTTAAATAAATAACATAACATTACATCACGCCTTTTATCCCCGAAGGGGTGTACAATGTAACACCCACTTTTCACTATTTATGTAATAGAGGGTGGGCCTATTGCCATATACCGGGCAAAATTCCAGACTCCATGCTACTACTGAGATTTTTTGAAAAAGCCCAATAATAATTAGCCCGACCCGGGAATCGAACCCGAGACCCCTTGCCCGGCAGTCGCAATTGCGACTAATTGGCCAACGAGGCAGTCTATTAAATAATTTACCTCTAAAATTAAACGTAAAGCGATAACAATATCGAAACGGTAGATATATCTAAGTTGTTTTTCGAACAAATCAACATTTACAGGTGAATTAGAGTTATATTCTTTGAAAAATATCGTCTTCAATATTCAGTTTTCATCTTTTATCTCAAGAAATATTGTTGAATTTTCTTAGCACGCTTCATGCAACAAAACGTTGTGCTGCTGAATCAGAATGCTTGGCTAGTTCGAATATTTTGAACGAATATTTATTCAATGTTAGATAGTAGAAAGTAAAAATACAGTATCTATAGAAATATTTTCTTCAACAACAGAGTTATCTTGAAAAACGTTGACACTGACATCTATCGTCGATCACAGCGATGTAGCATTAAATAAATCTTCAAAAATAAATTCTTTGTTGTCAAACAAATGTTTCTGTGAACTTTTTATTTAATGCTAGAACTTTTATTAGAAGTTAATAGTCTATAATGTAAGTAACATTCTGAAATAAAATATATTATTTTATTGGTGACACATAAAAATCTTGGAAAATGCTATTCACAGAATAGATAAAGATATAGTTTATTATTATATGCCTCGTTGGCCGAGTGGTCGCAAGTGTGACTCGGGTTCGATTCCCGAGTCGGGCAAAGTATTACTGGCTTTTAAAAAAAATCTTAGTAGTAGCACGGAGCCTGGAATTATGCCCGGTACCTATATGGCAATAGGCTCACTACCTATTACACGGGACTCATAACATAAATAGTGAAAAGTGGGTGTTACATTGTACAGTGGCATTAAATGCCAAAATGTGCACCTCTGCCTACCCGTTCGGGAATAAAAAGCGTGATGCTATGTTAGTATATTATTGTAATTATAACAAACGAATAGACAAGATTTCATTTGAGACAAACTCTCAACATGTTCCCACTACTGAAACTTGTGTAAGCCAGAATGTACAAAGCGACACATCAGAACTGCCATGAGAGAGCTAAGCTCATTGTGTCGCAGAGACAGACATGAACAAACTGTTTCGAATCCCACGACGAATCTAATCAGAAAATATGAATGAATAGGAAAGAGATGGCTGCGCAGTGAATGTACTATGCCCAATATAGTATGTACAGTGAATAAAAGAGTGCAAAATTTCAAAAATAATGTTAGCTTTTGGCAGTGAGGTCATTTTGCTATTAAAGTTTAGAAGACGACATTACTATTGTGCATATATTAATAATAATAAAGTTTATTTATTCAGATAACTGAGATCCATCGAAATAATAGTAAAGAAAGAACACAATATATAACTATACTTAGATACAAGTCCTATATAGGACAAATTTAATCTGATAATCTTATCAGAATAAATTATAATACATATTCATTTTTGTTTAATCGCACTTCCAAAATTTTAAAACTCTAACGAAATACAAACACCAGGAACATACAGAATTATTCTCTATTGAAAAAAAAACCCTGCAGTAAAACACAATGAGCAGAGTAACTCTAGAAACGCTTTTGAAATGGCTACTGCACACGACATAGAGTAAAACCGAGTTCATCCTACATCAGTGGGACCAATTATTCTCGGCTTGGGATTAATGCACCACAATACGAAGCGTAATGCATCACGGGCTACGGAAGTGGGAATTACTGAGGCGAGGCTCGTTCTCAAATTGTAAAATTTTCATTTGAGAATGTGTGAAGAATTAATTAATATTTAAAAAAATGTTATATTAATTAATAATTGTAATTGCATATTGAAACAAACTCACTAATGTATTTACCAATAGTGGACGTAATTTTATTATAATATATTATGTCAACTTTCACTTTTACAGACATTATTTTTTATAATGACTGATATGCCCAAACTTTATTAAAGCATATAATAAATTATAACTGTTCGCTACTGGGTACCATTCTGCACGCTATTCTAATTATGACAAATCGAAAATTGTAAATGCCAATAATACCTTACCTGACTGACGAAAATAAATTGATAAGTTACTTTTTCAATCTTAATGTTCAAATTGCTTTTTCAATATTTATTTCTCACTAAAGTATATTTAAGTTAAACGTCTTAAAATTAAAGGTAACTTGACGCTGACATTGATAAATTACTTTGTATTTCTCTAGAGAGTTAAAAGAGTTCAATAATACTCGCGTATGGTACAAAACGCAACGTTTTTCTGACGCATTTCATTTCGACAAGCAGAAAATAGATAGGATTTTATATGTAAGATGAAGATTGAATGAAAAACAATTTAAAAAATGTATATCCCAATAAAAGAAATGTCATCAATTTCATTAAAACAAAGCATTCATTAATTTAGAACAAAGACTATATAAATTCATATTTTTCCGAATAAAATATTTTATTGCAATAAAATGCTTTTTCTCCAATAAACATTTTACGATTTGGTAGTAAACCAAGAATGGGTATAAGGATAGTCTGCTAATGATAGCATTGGATCTAAGTGGTTTTGTTTGTCGGCTTTTTGGCTGTGAAGTTATTTATTAGGTTGACTGAAATCGTTTCGCAGATAAATTGTGGACTTGTTTGGCTTGCCGACTTATTGGCCCGGGTTCAGTTGTGATCCATGTTCTGGGTTTAGATTTAGAGCCTGTTTTACTTGCGGTAATAAAGTATACAGGTTTATAATGACATGATTTCTGAAGTTTTTTTTTTGGTGTGTAATTTCCTTAGTATTTCATAAAGATTTTTGTTGTAAAATTAAACGTAATTTCTGTGTAGTAGTTGAACAATATCAGACCTTGTTTAATGAACCATCTGCTTGTGACTTTGACTTGTCTAAATGTAATCGCCCACCGCATTGAGTAAAGTCGACCAATATATCATGAGATGCATGTAAAATATAACAGGACCTTCAAACTAGGTTCAACAATTAGACAAAAAAAATCGCATTACAATACGGAATATTCTTTCACAGGAGCGGGTGGCCTCCGTACCACGGAACTACGCATCACGCCGCGGGTCGTACAGCGAGGCAAGAACGTCACAATGTCTTGCCTATTCCCACCTCACGAGTATGGAGTCTACTCGGTTAAGTGGTACAAGGGAACTCAGGAGTTCTACCGGTACTCACCGCTAGATTCACCCCAGATAAGGCTGCTACCAGTCAATGGGATTAAAGTTGATGTGAGTATTTCAAGTTAGAGTTTTATTGTCATTGTTCTAAGGTGTTAAATGCATGTTTATTTGTGAAATGATGTCAAATTTAACGTCAAAGCATTTATTTCAACTAATTCTTAATTAGGCACTTTAAAAATGAATGAATGTCAAAAATGATGGATAGTGTTATCTTTGTAAATACAATTCTGGAAGTAGGCTTATTCCTATTATTGGGTGGGTTGATGTCCAAAATTTGTGCTCTTTCCAGTATGTTAACAACATTATCAAAATATGTGTCGACTAAGTAATCATACCATTGGCTTTGCTTTCTAAAAATAAATCTTATAGCCTTACATCATACAAGCAAAATTCAACCATAAAGATTTAGATCGTATGACTAGTATTTCAATTTACTAACTATTTATTCTTCTTCCACAGAGGTTAAGGTCGAATGAGACACACGTATTTTTAATTCGGGTAGGAGCGAACCTCAGCGGCAACTACACGTGCGAGGCAATACACAACTCACATGCCTACCCTCAGTACATGGCCTCAGCGAGGCTTGATGTTGTTGGTGAGTATAATGGATAAATATATTTCATTAAATAGTTAAAAATTAACACACTACATAATATCACACCTATTATCCCCGAAGGGGTAGGTACAGGTGCACATTATGCCACTGTACAATGTAACACCCACTTTTCACAATTTACATATGTTATGAGTCCCATGTAATACGAGGTGAGCCATTGCCATATACCGGGCACAATTCCAAACTCCGTGTTACTACTGGGAATTGAAAACCTAGTAATATTTTGCTCGACCCGGGAATCGAACCCGAGATCCCTTGCCAGGCAGTCGTACTTGCGACAACTCGGCCAAAGAGAAAGTCAGTCAGTTAAAAATTGTGTAAATAAATGATTGATAGTTAAAAGATTGCAAGCCACTGCCAACTAGGTATGAAGTCCTTATAATCTCCTTGGTTGGGTTTTTTTGGGGATTTAAGGTTGTGCGATTCCATGTCTGTGATTGAAGACCATTGAAGACACTGGTCTTCTGTATTAGGGTATAGATAAAGTACTTTATATTTTATAAGTTGTAGTTGAAAACTATATATTTTAGCTTTATGCTCAATTCAAAAGACTAAACCTTCATCAACAGCTGAGCAAAGCCTCTTCTCACACGAAGAAGATTTGAGCATTAATCACAACGCTTACTCATTGCGGGTTCGCGATTTCAAACTTAGTTTGAACTAAAAATTACTAGATTTTAAACTAAGTCCAGGTTTTCTCACGATGTTTTCCATCACCGTTTGTCAGTGGTGTCTAAATAATCTTAGGAAGTAGATATGACTCGGAAAATGTCACATTGGTACTTGCCTTTGGTTTCGAACCAACACCCTCATACATGTGTACGTTTTAACCTCCGGCCACCATGACTAAACCTTAGGAAAGATTATCCACGTGTAGCAACGTACCAGCCTAATAGCTTTAGCGAGTAAGTTAAAAATTAAACAAAGTGTTGCCACGCTTAAATACAAAGTAAGCTGAAGTCAGGAACTTGCGCGTTTGCCAAACTTGTTTACTACTCTATTTTGCGTTAGGAACCGCTAACTTGCAGATAAGTTAGGCAATATCTGCCTCAAAGTTAACACGATAAGGACTATTAGTTTAGACATAAATTTTCTGTCAAAAATCGCATAAATAATTTTCTAGTTTACGTTCTGTCTGGGATTTAAATTTTATTCCAGTTTAATGTTTTGAATTTATTACCAGAACAGATCGTTGTTTAAGTTGCTAAGTTATGTTTCCAAGAATGAATGCTAGGTTTTCACTTTTCAGTCGAACAAATTATTTTGAGGGGTTTGACCAACATTCTTAGTAATAACGCAATAGAGTCTGAAATTGCAGAAAGTGTTACATTTCCTTATCCCATCACCATCACACACATAACACCATAACATCACGCCTTTTATCCCCGAAAGGGTAGGCAGAGGTGAACATTATGCCACTGTACAATGTAAGACCCACTTTTCACTATTTATGTTATGAGTCCCATGTAATAGGGGGTGAACCTATAGCCTTATACCGAGCACGATTCCAGACTCTGTGCTACTACTGAGATTTTTTTTAAACCCAGTAATAATTTGCCCGACCCGAGACCCTCTGCCCGGCAGTCGTACTAACAAACTTAGTCGACAAATACTAAACAAAATCAAACCCTATAAACATCAATGAGATTCACAAAAATCTCTTAAGAGCAAACCAAAGTGTCCTTTCCATATTCATTAGCTGTCAACGACAAAAACCATCAAATAACAAGCATTAGAGAGAAGTATCGAGAAATAGACAAAACCGATCACTTTGTATAAGAAATGATTATGACATCCCTTAATAAGAACATTAAGATAATATTCCTTAGCAACGAATGAGGAAAAAGACGAATCAAAGACGTATAATTGACCTATATACTGTTTTTTTGGTGCTTCCTTGGCGTTACTTGAGCATATTTGCGTCTTTCTAATTTTTTAATGATGTCAAGGTATTTGGGATATTTTGTCACAAAATATTTTTACATTTTGCGTGTGTTGTAAATATTTTTAACTGAAGTATGTGTTAATTTACGTCGTCCAGGGATAAGTCATAATAATTTTATACTTAAGTATAAGTGTTTTTTGACTTTAGCATAGACATACATACTACATACGTATATAATACATACCAATTTGGAAACATACACAAACTTTTCGTCTTTAAAAAAAGTATAGTAATAAATTTATTACCTACGTGTATGTAAATAACTGTTTTTTTTTATATATAAGATGGGACTGACGTTTGACCACTATCTCACTTCAACGTCGACTTTTTGAAGTCGGTTATTAATGCACTAAAACCTTCTCCTAAATATAACAAATACTTTTCTGAAAACCGCATCAAAATCGGTTCAGCTAATAGCGAGAAAATCGCGCATAAACATACATACAAACAAACAAATAAATAAGTCAAACTAATAACCTCCTTTTTTAATTCGGTTAATTATTATTAAACTGTCAAACACCAAGCGGTCACCGGTGACCGCGACCTATTGTTCTTTAATTGTGTCTATAAAACCGGTACTCGACGAGTTAAAAAAGTATTTATTCATGCAGTTCAAAAGTACATGACAAATATACATATTTTCACTGTCATAACCAAAGACATATTAAACTGCTATATATATAACTCTGACTCAATGTTACTTACAAAAAAGCTTCACAATAAAAAAAAACAATAACACAACATCAGTCCCTATATAACGAATGACGAGATTCTCAAATCCCGACACTCGTACAGATATCACAAATTCTTCCTGGCTTTACATCTCAAAAAAAAAAATACCGAACGCGTATTATTAAAACTCTTTTGACCGTAACAGACAATGGGTTACAAAGGTGGAATCATAAAAATGTGATGTGAAACACAAAGGGGTTGGTAGGAAAATGGAAGGGGTAGCGACACACCTGTGACCCCAGGAAGGGTAAAATTGTGAGAATTTAGGAAATTGAATGACGGTAGGTCATCTTAGAATTGTACCTTTTTTTGTTTTGAGCTCTAGTAAGTAGTTAGGAGACAAGAAGGATATAATATCCGATGCGGTATGGAAGAATGAACTCTTTTGCCGTAGGTATTGATACAAATTAGATTGTCACACCTTATCTACTACAAAATTATTAAGATAGGAAACATTTTAGACTATGTAAATAAAAATGAATTGCTGTTCATTAGTCTCGTTAAAACTACCTCTATAAAACTGCTGAACAGATTCAGGCCATTTTAGTCTTAATTTATTTGTGATAGTCCAGAAAAGGCTGCCTCGTTGGCCGAGTGGTCGCGAGTGCGACTCCCGGGCACGGATTCTCGGGTTCGATTCCTGAGTCGAGCAAAGAATTAATGGATTTCTTAATAAAATCTCAGTAGTAGCACGGAGTCTGGAATTGTGCCCGGTATATGGCAATAGGCTCACCCCCTATTACATGGGACTCATAACATAAATAGTGAAAACTAGGTGTTACATTGTGGATAAGAAAAATATATTTGAGGTGTTACATAGTTTGCCGGGTCACCTAGTTTCTAATATTTAATTTCTTTTCACCACGGCTTAATAGAAATTATAAATAAATATATTTTGTTAATTAAATCCATATTTATTTCAACAAGACTTTATACTATACTTTGCAATTAAAATTCAAACAAAAGACTGCCTTGTTCTAGTGGTTACAATTAACTAGTGGTTATTTAAATTAAAATCGAGTAATAAATACAAAAACAAAAAGAAAACAGTATTGTGAACCTCCTTCTTTTAGAAGTTGGTTGAAAAGTATATTATGTTATCGAAAATAAAAATGTTTGACATAAAACCAGATACTCTTAATATCAATGGACGACCTAAAGAGAAAAGTAAAAGGCAAATCTACAAGTGACGAACTAAATATGAAGTAAAAGCAATAACTTCATGCTGACAAGTCAAACAGTCACAACTACAGCATCCTGCAATGCAGTTATTACTTTCCATAGTATTAAATTCCTTTACTTGTGAGGAACAAGTTGGAAACTTCCGAAAATACTTCAACCGGGTTCTTCTTAGTTGGGTCATCTAAGTTCTTCTGCAACTTTACTAAAACAAACACCATTGATTTTCTTCCCGTGAGCTCCTAAACTTGAGCCGGAAGACAAATAGCTGATATCCTTTGTTTTTCTTTGATGGCTGACCAAACATCATTGGCAGGTTTCTTCCGAAGAATTATGTTCTCGTAAAAGTTGGCTTACGACTGCAGATGATGGATAAGTAGCTATTTGGTTTTGATGTTAGCCTAAATGTTTTACTTTTCGCATGGGAGTTTACGTGGACTTACGTACTTCAAATTTTTACATCTGGTCATTATTTGGCTAAACCTTCCAATTTCACCTTGAAACCATATTCAACGATGTGAATAAATCTAAAATAATTTTGTGGCAAAATATCCGACTTTTAAGTTTTTTTTTTATGGAAACGAGCAGACGGATCACCTGACGGTAAGCAATCGGCGTCGCCCATGGACATTTGGAACACCAGAGGCATTACAAGTACGTTACCGGCCTATTGGGGAAGGATCGTTGGGGATTTAGGGATTGAGGAGATTGGAGAAGGGGAGGGTAATTGGGCTTCCGGTAACCTCACTCACACGAAAACGAAACACAACGCAAGCGTTGCTTCTCGTCGGTTTTCTGTGAGGCCGTGGTATCACTCCGGTCGAGCCGGCCAATTCGTGCCGAAGCATGGCTCTTCTACACTTAAAGTCCCACACTTAAGTTATAAAATTAACAATCAAATAAATCTAAAAAACGACTTCTAGAATCTGAGAACAGAATGAGAACAAACTGTCATCAAATGCAATGTAGATGACAGTACTATGATTAAAATATTTTTTTGCATACTTTGTTAACAATAACAAAGCTCAAGTAAAATTTCTAAACAAAATAAAACAATATCAATTATAATTCAACATTTTATACTACACCACGGTGCATCATCAATCTACCTGCCAAGTCGGTTAAATAACAATACACTAGTAGCTGGAGCCCTCGGGGAGAGCTCATGTTTAGCGTTGTGCTCTATGGTAAGGATATGAAATAAGATAACAATGCAGGCATAATATATTACCCTTATGAAACCAATTATGGTAATGGAGAATATTATTGATATGTTGTGGAGTATTTTGCGGATCTTGGGGAATAGTTTTGATGAAAAAATTATGGCTACAACCTAAAGAAAAGACCAACTTCTCTTTTAGATCATAGTTTTTTTATGGCACAAGCCGGCTAACGAGCAGACGGATCACCTGATGGTAAGCAATCGGCGTCGTCCATGGACACCTGGGACATCAGAGGCGTTACAAGTGCGTTACCGGCCTTTAGGGGATTAGGAGTTTGAGGATTGATCGTTTGGGAATTCAGGAAGGGGAGGGTATTTGGGCCTCCGGTAACCTCACTCACATGACGAAACACAACGCAAGCGTTGCTTCACGTCGGTTTTTTGTGAGGCCGTGGTATCACTCCGGTTGAGCCGGAGTTAGTTAAAAGTAATATGTTTTGCCTATATATAATATCTCTTATGTCGATAATTCAGTCATTATTTGAATTGAGCCCTTTTTTAAATGATATAAGGTGATCTGAACGTTATGATTTTAGCATTAGACACGTTTTGCGAAAATCCTCAAAATTGTACCAAAGTTACACTGACCTTCTAGCTTTGTTGAACCAATGCGGCACGTGGCTTCGCTGCCGGGCTCAGAATACAACCTGATCCAGGATTTTCGAAGAATTTACGTATATTCGTAAATGTTAGTTGACGCATATTCAATTACTGATTCACGTGTTGGAGAATAATTGAGGTCAAATGTGCTTTATTGATCTGACATTAAAGCTTATGGTTCGTGGTAGAATGGAAACTGAAGTTTAGAACAAAATTGCTACAACATCTTTGAATCAAATTTATTGTTCTATATTCAAGATCATATGTGATCTCTGATCACTAAACTTTCATACTTTCTTGAAAAACTGGGACGGGTATCTAAATATTATTAGATACCAATAGAAATAGTTATAAATCGCCAAGCTACACAATTTTAAAACAATCAAAATCAAATAATAAAGCTATTAAGAAAACCGATCACAATTTTAACATCACATTTTGTTTAACAGCTGTAGGAGGTCTTCGAGCAACAGATCTTCGGATATCCCCTCCAGTGGTGCAGAGAGGGAATGACACGACTCTAGCGTGTCTGTACGAGCTGACAGACGCGCCCCTATACTCCGTGAAGTGGTATAGAGGGCGCCACGAGTTCTACCGCTACTCTCCCACAGAGAATCCTACTACGAAGATATTTCCCTTCGCTGGAATCAATGTTGATGTAAGTATTTACTTAGATCTCTGTTTTATAGTTTTGAATTTAATTCCATGCATAGAGCAGTAATTGACCTGAAGATTGCTTTTACTTAGTGCCATTGGTTCTATTTCGGTAAGATAAAGTATTTTGTAAGATTCACATTTTGTAGTGAAACACCTACGTCACAAGAGGAAATTCACGTATATCTACGACTAGCTACTTCCGCGCGGTTTCACTCGCTCTGCTCGGCGCCTATTAATCGTAGCGTGATGTTTTATAGCCTATAGCCTTCCTCGATAAATGGGCTATCCAACACAGAAAGAATTTTTCAAATCGGACCCGTAGTTTCGGAGATTAGCGCGTTCAAACAAACAAACAAACTCTTCCGCTTTATATAATAGTATAAAATTTCAAAATACATGACTTTTCTTAAACATAAACTTTGAACTTCAGTTATAAATGTGTTTTAAAAGTTCATAAATTAAAATTAAAGACCACATTAAAAATTTATATCTTGATAGTTCTATTCAGACATAAATGTCATCTACCAATAAAATATCGAAGCTATTATGGAAGTAAAAATGATCAAATAAAACAAATACTTATCGTACGTATCATAAAAATTCGACGCAAAAGACGTCTCGTGTTTGCCGATCGACATTAAATTTATAATGCAATTTGATCATAAAAATGTCGCAGATCATCAGAATTTTATTATCATATTATTGTGCTCATTCTACTGTCTTCGGATGAAAATATTTATTGTCTGAGATATTTGGATAACTAATTTATATGTATTTACTGCTATGTTAGGTTTAAAAGTGTCAAAGAATAATAGTCATATTATTTTAGTGTCTCGTCGTTGGTAATGTGTTAACAAATAAACTTATAACATTATTTGCAAAAATAAATAAAAATCTTCTCAAAAGCAGATAAAGTATCAGTTTATTTTCAAAATTTAGATTCGGTTCTCACCAAAATACACCATACACAATCTAGATCTTCGAAAAGAAAAACAAACACAATCTTCTGTTATGAAATATCTCAGCATTATTATCACACGTATTTTTGTAGGCTTAACTGTAATATAGTATTCCATAACACCTCAATGGCCAAATGATCCAACGTTATACGCAATACCTGCGCGAAAATTTCCAGATTTTTCTTCAATTCGATCGATGTAAATATGTTCGTATTTATTCGGCGTCAAAGCAGACATAATTTCGGAGCCAACTATTGACATAAAAGTGTTATTAAGTTCAGCTGAGACATCACAAAGAAGCCCTATGTCAATAATATCTGAAATCATGTCAAGTACGAACGAAAGGTCGCAAGTAATTCAGATATTTTTTGACGTAAAAAGTGATTCTGCGTTTGGAATAGTCATATTTGCTTGAGAATTTGTAAGTTTGAAAATGTGGATTGTATGACTAGATAGATTGGTCTTTTGAGACGCAAATTTTATTTGTTAGTGACATACTGAGGTCAAATAAATAAATTAGTTTAGATTTTCGTAACATTAACATAATAAAAAAAACATTTCGTAGTTTGTAAAATATAACTGAGATGTGAGGTCTGCCTGAACGAGCAATTTATATTGATCAAGTACTCTTTTTCTTTAAATCTGCATACACGTATAAATACGAAATATTGAGCCAAAAACGTACCAAAACTTGAAGCCCTCACAAAATCCACCAACCAATAAAACGCTTCAAAAATATGCTACCCTAGTAGATAAATAAGAAACCTCACGCACATTACCTCTACATAAGCTACTCCATCCATCACCTTTACGCATAAACTGTTCCACATATTAAATCCAGCAATAAAGATTCTAAACGGGCTTTTAAGCTAACTCTTATACGTAAGTCAGAGCAATGAATTCCCTTATACACGTTTCATGGAAACTCATACACGATTTGTCTTCTCAAAACTGTCAGACGAGTGCTCATGTCATGTTAATGCAAGTAATAGTCTAAGAGGTACTGAACCCTCGAAGTAAAGTTCGTTCTGTATGGCTAGAAATTTGTAGGATGATGATTTATAGCAAGCTATCGCTAATAGTTACCACCTGACAGTCATTAGTCTTGCTCATCATCTTTTTTTAATAAACCAATTTATCAGCATCTCGCATTGTATGATCTTTTCACGCACTCAACGGTCAGTATATACTGGCTAAGGATACTCAGAATGTACTGTGTTGGCGGCATTGAGATTAGCGTGTTATGAATTATCTTATTAATTTCTAGTGTTACAAGACGAACTTTATTCAGATGGTACAGTATCTCTTAGGCTATAAAGTAAAGTATGAGATGTATATAGAGAATTGCGATATAGCAACGGACTTGGAAAGGATTTCTAAATGTTTGGGGCCAGTGCCAAGTTCGATGTGAACGTCAAATGATTTGGAAGTGATAGGAAAATATTGCGTGTATTCCAGCTTATTTCTTGTGGATTTTAGTTTTGCAAAGATGCTTGAATAATTTTGAATTTAAATTTTTATGAGTAGCGGTTGGAAGGACATATTTTGAACGATTAGTTATCAATGTTGGTTTGGCATTCAACTGTGAATTGTATTTGGTATTTGTGTAAAACGTTTACTGAGACTGTCATATTATTATTATAAATAGAATGGTATTCCGTATCATAATTTACTCTCATGGTTCAATAAATCATTATTCTTCCCCAGCAATTCATTGTTTTAAACACTTTAAAGTAGGTAACTAGCAATACAAACACGTCATCATACTTTACTATATCCGGTTTGAATTCATTTATTTCTAAAAGATTACAAATCACTTGTACAGAAATAAATACTTAAACTAATTTTACATTTTTGATTTGTCCAGGAGTAACAAGAGGTTGTAATAGTGGTCACAATTTTAGGATTTTATCATGTATAAAACAATAGGTACATCTTGTTCTATAATCAATACAAAGACTTGTAACATAATTCGCATCAAACTCGCATTACCATCGCGCGCAGTACACCATCTCAGAACTTCATTCCACAAAGCAGATTTATAACGCCTAATGTAAAAACTCTGTGGAAAAATATGCGAATCTTAGACACCAAGTGCTGCCATAAGAAAAATGTGGAATATCAAACGTAACGGTTTCACCAGCCATAATTCTTGTCGTCGCAGAAACTTCTCAGCAATTATTTTTACCTGTTGAGCTGTTGAAACAATGTATTTTATGGTGTGGAATTTGGTTAATATACTGGCTCAGTTTAGCGGAAGAGAAACGTGTTGAGTCGCTGTTAAAATCTCTGAAATGTTCGCGGTTAAATAATTTTGTAATCCGCCCGTTCTGTTGTGCTCGAGTCGAGTTATTCTTTTAAAGTATTAACAATGGGCCCTTTTGTTTATGAGATGGAATTATTTTTTACTCGTTGACTTTATGAATAATGGTTGGTTGTAAAAGTTTGGTGAAAAGGCGAGCTCGACAATGTATTGCTTGTAGTTTGATGAAGTAAATGTGGTTTTGTTTTAGCTTTGTGTCTCATGTTTTTTAGGTCGGGAATATTTAAAGAACATTTTTTTTATGGTAGCTTAACTGGTATTGGTTGTTTGTGTACTTGTTTCTGTGGTGACGAGAACAAACTAGTGATCGACTGTGACTAGATTTTTGGGTCAAATTCTTCTTAATTCTTACTCAGTATTTGTCTGTTCGTAAATCTTAATGCTTGCACTTCGAATTGATATTAAAACAACTCATAGGTACCAGGCACACATAAAGGATTAACCCAATCAGTCTATTCTAATTAAGGTATACACACTCATTCCTCGATCTAAGTAAAGTGGAAAATCTAGTAAGACATATAACAATAAACACATACTACTACATGAAATACAAACATATAATATTTCATTTACCTAAATCCTAATTCATTTGAACAGCCGCAAACACTGAGCTCTCATATTATACTACCCACTCCATATTGTTTCAATCTCAAGCACCTAGATCTTAATACTAAAACGTCATAAGTGGTTCAGTACCACTTCTAGGAAACTCAAACTTATATACTAAGGAACACATTTCAAATTCATTTGATTTCGACAAACTAAGCTTTTAGTAGTCAAGGAAAGACTTGTTTGAAACTAAAGAAAGTGGTTGAGTATAAAGGACTGTGTTCTATGTAATTGTGTTTGGCGGTTACTCGCGTTGTTATTAGCTTAAAAGTAAGTTTGGGAGTGTTAGATATTTCTAGATAGATACTTAATATGCCAAACATAACAGCTTTTATGACCTCAAAGGAGTACAGAACAAATTAGTCTACTAACACCATGCTAGTTTTAAAAAAGTGAAAATTGTGTCCGGTATAAAGAAACAGGCTCACCCCTATTGCATGAGACTCATAACAAACACAGTGTAAGTGTTACATTGTACAGTGGCATTGAGTGCTGTAATCTGCAAATCTGCCTACCCTTTTGCGGAGGAAAGGCGTGATAACGATGTTATGTTAGTTTTGAAAGAAACGAATATTTTTTTACCTTCACTGGTCGTCAAACCGTAGTCCATTTAAGTAGACCTCTCTCTTACTTCTAAAAAAGAACTGATAAAGATACATGAAGAGAAAATGCGGACTATTATCTCATACCCGTACACCAGTTTTGTTGTAGGTATAACCTATAACCTACGGCAAACCATAGGGCAATCATTCCTAGTTGTCTTCGAAGAGTCTTACAAAAGTGTTTCTCCTATTTATTTCAGTTACTAATATTTATAACTTCAAAGAGGCGTTAAAGAACTGCGTCGAAGGTTTTACAATAGATAGCTTTACTTTTGATTATGAAAAACTCAGAATTTATAAAACTACGACATTTTTTCGTAGAATATCATCTAATATTTGATTCGGCCCATATTTTCTTGTTGCTAAGTCGACAAGAGATGAGTTGGACAAAAACGTGGCGTTCATTTTGCTAGTCAATCTAAAACTACATAATTTAATACTTACTTATTTTTTTTTTGGCTTACTCACATAAATGTTTGACGAGGAACTCGACTAGTTTCAAGCCATGCTAGAGGTTCATATTCATTGGATAGCAGCATGACAGTCGCCGCGTCGCTTGTCGCTATTCATGTAAGCCGAAAACATAATAATGAATTTAGTATGTATCTGTACAAGTAACTTAACGGCCGGTAATCATCCTTCTAACAGTTTAGGAAATAATAACAGAGAAAACCTCTACTAACTGCCTCAGCCTCTCAATTATAAAACCAAAATAGCGAAACTATTCATATATAATTAGAAAATTCAATTAAACAGTTTAATCTAAATGCTTGTGTCTAACAAAGGGAGAGATAATAATTATAATGTATTATAGAAAATTGTTCAGAGGCGTTGGAGCGGCATTGCTTTGTGTTGCCTGACCGATGCCTCGATTTACAAAAGGATGGAATAGTTTTTAGAATGGGATTTGTAGAATAGATTGTATTATTCATTTTTGAATGAAGATTGGTAATAAAGAATAATATTGATTCGTTCCTTTTATTAAAATAAGGTAGGCTAGTCTCAAAACAATTACTTAGGGCTAGTTTTAATAACCCATATATTTTTTTATTATATTTCCTTGCTAGAGATTTAACTAAAAATCTTAAGTAAGAAAATCTACTGATAGTTAAGTTATTGGGAAACTGTTTAAGTATATTTACTTGTCACTAAACTATGTAGTGATATCTATCACATTTATCGTAAGTTATATTTTCGTTCCTTTGGCAAAGACGAAGAGTTAACGCTATGCAATGTAACATGTCGCGGAGAACTTAACGAGTTACCGTGGCTCCGGCTCGACCGGCAGGAGAAGGAACGGGGTGGTTTTTAGTCAGTAAAAGTCTGACACTCCGTCCCGCCTCACCCAGGCGGGAGCAGACATTCGATGATTTCCCCCCCTTAAAAAAAATCCAATGTAAAATGTCCTAGCTAAATATCTTTATATAATTTAATTGTTTAAGATAATGGCTTTGGTTACTCAAAGTAATAAAAAAAATGATAAAACTGTGAAGTAAAAGAGTACCCACTCTAATTTTCTCAATAACTGAAAGTTTACAAACGACTTCAGATAACATCTTATAAAATACTTGAAACTTTAGTAGTATCTATAGGTGATTGAATTAAAATATACTTCAACCTATTCTATCTCCAACTAGCTTCTACTAAAGTCGCCCACTTTCGCAAAATTCTATGTCCGTCATCTGGTTTTTACCTCTTCATACATTTTCAGTAAAATCGATTTGAACTGACACGACTTTTTTTATAGACTTCAAAAAAATCTGTAGAAAATATGTATTACAGTGTCTGAATCCTATATTCCTATTACTTGCAAACATCCCATTAAAATAAAAGATTAGATAGCTAGGAATCTAATTAATTCAACGAGGAAACGTAAGTAAATAATGTCTATATTCCTTTAACAAATGGCAACACCAATCTGTTTTGTTTCAGACAGTTTCTATTCATAAAGTTTGACAAACACAGAGCGTTGAATGGTTTTAATAATACAAATAAATATATTTAATATCAAACATTATTAATTTTAATTAAGGATCGAAATGACTGACTTTCAAAGGGTATACTTTGAAGGCTTGACAAAAAAAATTGTTCACGATTTTCGAGGACGCCGAAGCCAAACAAAAGGTATTTGGTGATTAATTATTCAAGTTAGATCAGACAGGCTTAGGCCGGTCCATTATTTATTTGCGAAGCTCGATGCTAATTGTTTGGTTTATTTAGACTGAAATTGTAGAAAAGTAATCCGCTTTTTGCCGGCCGTAAGTATTGTCTAAATTGTTTAAAATTGCCGCCTCGTTGGCCGAGTGGTCGCAAGTGCGACTGCTGGGCAAGGGGTCTCGGGTTCGATTCCCGGGTCGGGCAAAGTACTACTGGGTTTTTAAAAAAATCTCAGTAGTAACACGGAGTCTGGAATTGTGCCTGGTATATGGCAATAGGCCCCTATTACATGGGACTCATAACATAAATAGTGATAAGTGTGTGTTACATTGTAGGTACAGTGGCATAATGTGCACCTCTGCCTACCCCTTCGGGGATAAAAGGCGTGATGTTATGTTATGTATGTTTAAAATGGTTGCCTGTTTGTCAACTACGAATTACAATGCTTTGATCTTGAACATTTGCAGTGGAATAAGGAGCAACTTTTATGTTCCAAATTATTTTCAGTCGGTAATATAGTTCGATTTTTGCAGAAGAATAGAAAATAAACCAATACACGATTTATTGTCCAAACAATTTAAAATAGACTGTTCCCTCTTTATTCCAACAACAGTTTAAAATCCATCCTAATGTTGAGTCAAAATATTGAAAGCAGCCCTATCTTCCATATGCGAGCACTAAACATAAACATAAAAAGAAAATAAACCTTCTCAGTCACTATTGGAGATCCCCCGCTGTCAGCACACAAGAACAACTGGCTCAAAAAAAGAAATATGTTATTATTTCATACAAAATAAACCCCAGGCAATTCCAACAGTTAATTTTAGTAGCAGCTGCTTCCCATTTCTTCGCGTCAACCCTAAAAAAACAATCTGCCATTCACTTCACTCTCAATGAAGGGAAATCCGAGCAATTTTCACATGCTTTATTCCTGTGTCCCGAGCAACGGTTTGTACATTTTTTTCCTTAGGAGAGAGCCATTCCTCCTCGTCGCCTATGCGGCACGTGTTCATAAATCCAACCCTTTATCACTGCCTCTTATTTCGCAGTCTCGCGGCGATAATAACCCTATGGCCCGTTTTGTTTCGTTTATATCCCAGTTTTCTTCCCGACGTTCAGCCTAAAACGACACTCGTTTCTTTTTATAACACAATACGCGCCCCAATGAGGAATTGATCGACGAAATGAGAATATAGATCATGCTTATTGTGTACCAGGATTTGGCATCACTCGCCTCCAAATTGCACGCAAAATCTATCAGTTGTAATTTGACTAATTTATAGAGAAATTCGCCTAGAATAATGCATATTTAGCAGTTTTCATGTTATATTAATTTAGTAATTTTGGTCAATAATTTGTTCTGTTAATGAATGAGCTTAAATTCATCATCAATACGATAAATAAATGCATACAATAATTTTCTTTTGTTGCACATTTTCCGGTTAGTACACAGATTTGAATACTAATAAAAGCATTTAAATAAACTTTAAATATTGTAAATTATGTTGAACGAATAAATCCCAAAAACAATGGGAAACAGAAATTGTATTGGAGCTTTTTACTGACTTCTATAAGTGGCAAAAACAAAGCAATATTTTTCGACAGTTTTAATAAAAAGCAACAAATAAAACAGATTGATATCTAAATTATAGCTTAGGAGCGAACCAAAATTGCTTAATAAACATTGACCCACATACACCATTGTTACATAGATCACTATTTGCTAAACCTAGAAAATACTACAAAAAATCTAGAATAAGAATTAATTGCCTCGAATCTGGACTCAATCTGGGTCTGAATTAGATTAAAGTAGGTTGTTAACTTGCTACTGAGACAAACGACGTTAATTTGTAAGGATAATTAAATGTTTGCTTTCCGAACCCCCTTTTTTCTGAAACTTTCTTTTGTAAGTAAGGAATTAAGGTCGCTTTTGTGTAAAGAAAAATTTGACAGCAATTCTAACGAAAGATTGATGGTATGTGGTTTATAAAAAGTTTCTGTTAGGAAGTGAAATTGCTTTATTCTAAGAAATCTACAATATTTTATATACTTACTTATACAACGTATGTAAATACATCACACTTTGACTTGCTATAACAAGTTATTATGGATTACTCAAAAACTTTCAATCAAACCACATGCTTATACCTACTATATATTAGCATTCCTTAAGTTCCTCATTCCGAGTGAACAGTAAAAATAAATTTCACTCTAAATAAATTATCCTATAATAGTTTAGAAACACGAGCATACGGCGCGTCGCGTTCCGCGCGCGCCTCAAAGAGCCATCAGACCACCACAGATGGGGCCCAATAGGGCCGATGCCGATTCGGAGTCGCGGAGAACCTAATGGGTAACCGGGGCTCCGGCTCGACGTGCAGGAGAAGGAACGGGGTGGTTTTTAGTCAGTAAGAGTCTGACACTCCCTTCCGCCTCACCCAGGCGGGAGCAGTCATTCGATGATTTTCCCCCCTTAAACAAAATACTACTTTAGAATGTGATTTTACATTGTCTTGTCCATATTATTTGTCTTATTTTATATCTTTGTCCAATAGTTGGCGAGGTCCAATCAGAGTCAAGTGGTGCTAACCAGGGTCAGTTTCGGTCTATCCGGCAACTTCAGCTGCGAGGTAACAGCAGACGCGCCTTCCTTCGCCACCTCTATCGTTTCTAACACTATGGAGGTAGTTGGTAAGTAAAAATGAATTTTATTGCCATTAAATAAAATTAAGAGTAATTCTGTTGGATTGTTTTAATAAGAAGGTGTTTCTCAAGGTTCGATCCTTGGGCCAACGTTGTTTTCGAAAAATGGTTAGTAATTACTAAGACTAGAAGTGTATGACAGTAGAAATATTCATACTACATGAGACCCATAATATAATGAGTAAGAAAGGCCAACACCTTCGAAGAATAAAAGGTATGTTAGTATAATGTTAATGTTATGGTACGAAAGCAATTTGCATAGTTCATTCTGCTTTTTTGTTTAAAGATATAAAAGTTTGTATTTTTTCTTCGACGAAAGCTAAAAGTTTTTGTTAAATTATCTTCCTTAAAGATGAAAATTGTGAAATTCTTAGAATTCAGAAAATTGTTTTTTTACAAAGTTCATAATTTAACGCATAAACCTTGCATTTTGGGAAATCATTTATTTATTATTCTACATAAGACTAATAATGTATAAATTATTTTTAAGTAGGTATAACTTAAAAACAAAATTAGAAGTCTTCTGGCTTATATGTATAAATGTGAAGAACTCAATTTACAAAGTTAATATGTAACTATCATCAGTATTGTTCCTCATTAAACATATGACTTCATCTGAAACTCTTTTGTCCAGCTCTCCCGCCATCTTTGCCGGTAATACAGACAGACAAGCATTACTACGGCCCAGGCGACGTGCTCCACGCCAACTGCACATCAGGACCAAGTCGACCACCGGCCGACCTCGTGTTCTTACTCAATGACATACCTGTAAGTATATCTATAGTAAGAGCATTATTATGATTTTCAACTTGTAAATTTTCTTTATTGTAGAAACGTCGACGTCTAACAGCCAAATATAAAAAATGCATTTTTCTACACTGCTCATAGTACAACGTATTCTAAATATAAAAATATGAAAAGAAAGGTAGCCAAACTATGTAGGTATATTATGCTTCAATATGTGAATCTGTTTGGTCGGTTAACAAGAAACGAATACTCTTTTCGTTTTCATTGTACAACATTTCCTCTTAAAATCATTACTGAACAAAATTATTTCCGTACCTTGTTCTACTGTTCACCTTGACAAGATATTTGCATTTTCTCCAGTCTAAGTTTATTGACAATCCATTTTAATCTAGGAATCGAAACGTTTGATATCCAGAATTTATTTGCGAGGAATAACCCTTTTCAATCCTAAATTTGCATAGGATTGCGTTTGAACCTGGCAATATAGCCAAAAGGATGAGTAAATATTGTCTACCAAACGAGTACGTGAGTGAGAGAATAATACGAGGATATTGCTATGACCCTGAACTCCTCAAAATAGATGAGGACGGGGGCGCTAAGTGATATAAATTGATCTAAAGGCACGAGTTTCCCTTTTAGAAAAAGTATTCCGTCCGCCAGTGAAAAGTTTTGTATGGTAACAAAATAAATCGTTCTAAGGCATAGGAAATCGATTTCGAAGAGGTATTCAGGAGGTGTCGACTATGGAACGTACAGTACTGTAATAGTTTTATATTATTATAACCTATTATTTATTTATACAGACTGGTTCGTATTTTCGGTTGATTAATTCGAATTTTTAGTATCGGAGAGTCATGCTTCGTAATGAATGGGCCGGCTTGACCGGAGTGATACCACGGCCTCACTGAAAACCGACGTGAAGCAACGCTTGCGTTGTGTTTTGTCGTGTGAGTGAGGTTACCGGAGGCCCAATTATAATCCTCAAACTCAAATTTAAAAAACCTAATATTATTTAGTTTTAAAATTTCGCAATCAGAAAATTAACTTCGAAATCGAATATATCGATTTCACTAAATGAATTTAAAGTCCTAACTAATTTCATTTCTAAATAGTTAAGAAAAATTATGCATCAAAAGATTCCGATTTCTTAAATAAAATTACAATGGTTGATTTGAAATACCTTTAAACTACAATAAGTCACGCATCACAATATAAAAACTTTACAAACGTATGTACCTAAGAGTCCATGTACTACCATCGATCCTGGTTTCACCCATTCATCGTCACGGGTCCTAAGAAGCCTAAAAGTTAGACAGAGGGTCAAGAAAATCGTATCACCCTTAATGGGTTACGCAGTAGCACCATGTGTGTTCAAATTACTCCCAACGTCTCTACTAACCCAAACCTACATAAAAGGTTCTGAAAAACGGACTAGCTTACCAATATTACAAATCGAAATCACTAGCAACCTTCTATGTCTCGTTTAATAGATTTAGGCATCGAGGCCGGAAATTTGCGGGTTTAGCCAAGACTGGAGATACTACCACAAATGCTTAATCCTAAACATTCCTGGCAATATCCAGTCCCGTATTTATAGCTTCGTTGGAACCCAATTTATTGCTATAAACAACTCCTCAGCCAAACACAATATCTGCATACTTTATGAAGGATGTTTTGAGGTTACGGTTAGGATTGTGTTGGCATCGCTAGTTCAAACGATCCTAAAAGTTCAAACACATCGTGTCTTCGTATTAGAATAATATTATTATGGACTATTTCTATTCGATCTATTTTACGTTTTGTGAATATTTTTAAGTTAAGAAGCTACTTTTGAAGACTGAAGGCACTCTATTTACAGATCGTTTGGATATAACCGAGAAATATAAGTTCTAAACTAGTCAAATAAGGAAAATGCTCGGCTTATTTAAGTCAAACGTTTGCGTAGGTACTTTAGACAAACTTGTTACTAGTAGACAAGCTGGCAACCCATCGTCTAGCTCACAAATCCGTTTACAAAATCCGTTCCTGCTTCCAGTAGCGTCCTCCAAGAGTTTTAACTTAAAATAACTTGGCGAAAGCTACAGTTGTTCCAACTCAAATTCTATAGTGGTAAGTTTTAATGCCTTCACAGTTTCACATTTCGAGGATCCCACCGCGAATGCTTTTGAGATTTCAGATTTCCAGTATCTGGGACGCGGTCGCTTGCTATTGTTCGGTTGCTACTGAACAAACTATTTTAGTGACGATATTATGATTTTAGTGGAAGATTTTAAACGGTGCGATGGGTCTCGGTAAAGTTACTCGGTTACCGAATCATTTTATTGTGATCTACCGAGACGCCATTTTGAATGGAGTCTGTAATTATTTGAGATAATTTTGTTACTGTGTCAAGTTCTTAGTTTGCGTAAAAATAGCACTACTAAGTTTCCTTCTTTTAATTTCTAAATATCTTTATGAATAGTAAAAACCACACGCAAAGCACCAATTTAACGCTTTATCATCACACTTTGGTATTTGATATGTCAGATAAAACCAGGAAAGACAGTAAAATATAAAAAATCTATCAAAACATCATATACAATTATATTGCTCAAAAATTCATTTCCAACAAAAATAGATGTGACCAAAGCAATAATGATATTTCAAAAAACCTGAACAAACATATTTTATCCAGGAACTCAATTATCATAGAATTAAATATTAAAACTGCTCACCACAACTCATTATGGCGGAATAAAATTTGTTTAAACAAAATATTTGTTTTGTGCTGCTTGTTTGAATTCTCTCGTCTGTGAAAACACACGGAATCATCTTATTAGACAGACACGCTGTATAATACTTGTAATTAGTTAAACATTGTCTATACTTAGAACTATAAGAGTGTGTCTACATTATGGCACGAGCCGCTTGCGAGTCGCCCGCGAGCTGCGCGCGTGCATTTAAAATTATTATTTATACGAAACTTGTATGTGTTGAGCACCAAACCATTGCCGTGACTGCACGCTTACAGCTCGCTCTGTTGCGGCTCGTAAGCTGCGTTTCGTCAGATGTGGACGCACCCTCCAGTGTTCAAAATTATACTACTTGTGTGACCTTCTTTAACACGGTGTCTCGTAGATGTTCTAGAAACTCTTTTGTCTACATAACCAGACTAATTTTATAAATACCTTAAAGGGTAAAATTCAATTTAAGCAATCTATAAACTTAAAGTTCCAAAATAGCAAAACCTTTTATCAACAGTCAGTTCTTTTATAAATTACACAAGTGCCAATCTCAGCACCATAGTTTATGAGGTCTATTCTATTCTTCCTCCAAATATTTACATCTGTGTTATGCTATTAATTATGACTTTGAATACAAACCGGGGATAAAGTTAAAAGTTTTGGTCATTAACAAAACTCATACAGCGGGCCCGGCCAGAACAAAGTCCCAAATGTCAGCAACCCGTTACCAGTCGCTTGAATTCGTTGCGGCGCGAACACAACAACTGTTGACTCATTGTTTGTTGTGTTGATATTTGCAATTTTCCTACGTTAAGCAGCTTCGTCTGGCACGAGGGCTCTTCAGATTTAATCACATCTGCATTGGCCGCTATTATGGAAATTTTAACTTTATATGAATATGCACACAGTGCGGATTTGTTTGTTTGACTCATGTGCTTACGTTATTTCGTTTGATAAGCTGATTTGTAAAGTAAAAGTTGTTCCGTGTTTTCACATTGTATCATTTTTGTAATGTTACCCACGTATGGAGCCGACGTAGTCACGATAAAGTTATAAAGCTTATCGACATTGTAACGAAGCGAGAGTACTGGTGCACAGAAAACTTCGTTGAATTATTTAGTGTATTCAAAAGTATCTCTCGAGTCGATATTCATGTATTTATGCTGAAATTTTCACGGAGAAAACTTCTCTATCGTTACATATTCAAAATTTTATGATTCTGAATGCTTGAGTTTGATATTTTAAAAATGAAATCTAGGAGAATCTAAACGAGTAGAAATATTTTAGTATCCTAAAAACTAAATTTTATCAGACATAGATCAATCATACATTGTTTGGTGATAAATAATGTGTTTTTTTTATTTTAGCATGAAGCAGATGCTCACCAAGTCCACCCAGCGCCGGAGGGTCTCTTCCGTTCCGAGATTTACAGCAGTATACAGCTGTGGCCAGCCCACTATGAACGTGGAGCTCCCATACTGCGCTGTCAAGCCAAGATCGTAGACCTTTACAAAGATGATGCAGCAGTTGCATTGTATTCAGGGAATAGTCACCCTAAGATTGAAAGAGGTGAGTTGCATTTTGATTGGTTATTAGAAAACAAATTGTTTATATGTATTTTATGTTAGTCATTAAACGATACTTTTATAAAATCAAGTTTCGTTTCGAATAGGTCCCTCTTTACTTATTAATTTTACTCAGATAAAATTAAACTTTTGTGTCTGAACTGCATGTAGTACCAAACTTTTTCACTCCAATTACAGCAACAGCATGAATTTCCGCAACTAAAATTACACCTTTCACAGGATTCTGGATTTCAGTAATCTCAAGGGTAGATTCATAATGTGAAATTATGTAAAGCACCCAACAGCTCTCAGGAAATTTATTCATTACGATGTTCTGACGAAGGGCTTGTTCGTAGATTCCCTTCAAGCATAATTGCAATTTTCATGACGGCCCATAATGTTCGCGTATTATTAAATCTGAGTATCATCGTCATATGGAAGCAAGTTCTAAGTACTGTTTGGAACATTTTCTATGGGGAAGAAAGCTTAAATGTTTTGATCACCTGTTTGTACTTATTCTACTATCTTGTTCTTGTAACTTTATAATACACTTTTAGGGCCGAAACACATAACTGCGTTGCGTCGTCGCAACGCTAAAATCGGCAATTTGCTTTGCGGCGTTGCGGTGTCGTGAAAAAGAGCGTTTTATTGTCGTTCGGTAGGATAACCAGTTCGTCGTGATTTTTTATTGTGGATAGACGTGTCTCTGCCATGGACCATCGTGAAGAACTGGCATTACTCTGCTATGCTGGAACGAGCGCTGCGTTGCGGCACTATGCCTCTTAAATCGGCAGTGACGCTACTGTCGATTCTAGCGGCGTGGTGCTGCAACGCCATTATGTGTTTTGGCCCTTACTTAGCTATTGTGGTGGCTAGGAAAATACTCTTGAATTGTATAAATTGACTTTAACACTTCCCTCAATCCACTACAAACCTAACTAAACACTAATCCAATATCCTCCATATTTCATTTCATCTCTACAATAGTCTAAGAGCCCACATCACAAATCACGTTGTCATATTCCAAAACCAATATATTGTACAAAGCGTTTCTCCTCAATTGTATAAACGGTATAATTAGAACATTACCTTCCATATTGAAATCGATTATATCGGTAAACACATTAAAGGCCTGTCATTATACGAAGCGTTTATAGTTACGAATATGATGGTAAGAGCCGACATATTTGGCCTCTTGAAATTATATTTTCTGATGAAGGATGATTGCAAATAATATTTATTAAATTGATATTGGTAAAGGGGTCATCTTATAATTACTGTTTTTTTAATATTAATAGCGAAGAGTTCTTACACGTCACTCCCTCCATCTTTGGTTTTTGTTTTTTTGCATGTTCTGATGAGAGTAAATAGATTTCATTTATTAGATACCTATTTTACAATATCTAAACATATTTTTACTACAGCAATTGTACAAATGATCATAAAGTGAAGCATATCAATATTTAATCCTCAAAATCGAACTAGCTCTAAATTTAGTTATTTTATACAATCTTACTATAAATTTAAAACACTAGAACCTGCAGATTAACATTAAAAGAATAAAAACTCCTTTAATCAAAATTCGAATCAGCCACAAAATTTCCGAGAACCGCCACTCTGAGCAGGAAATGGCAAATTCTCAAAGTAGGTACATTGAATTCCAAAAACGGCACAACACCTAACACGCCCGCATATCTTTAATATCCGTGAAGAGGAAGCTTGGCTAATAAGATTACAAGAACCAAAGACTGCCAAAGAGGGCATTGAGGGCTCAATGAGTTATTGCCTCCCGTCTCATTTGCCCAGACAATTTCCTCTGAGGGCAACACTGAGGCGTTTGTTGGTAGATAATAAATTTATCTTTGGCACACGTTGAGCGTTTATTGCAGGAAACGCGGACTGGCAAGCTTTAACGCATGCTTATATGAATTTTGTACATTCTTGGAACTTACTTTGCAGTTTATGATTCACAGGCAATTTTTGTTTAACATTAAATTTGTGGAATTTTTACAATTAGCGATGTATTGTCGCAATCGAAATTAAGAGCAAAAAGTTAGTACATAAAAACTTTGTATACAGGATACAAATCGCTTATCCTTATGTATAATTGTACATAAACCTTTAGGCTGTAAATTAAATGAATGGAAATACGAACACGGTACCCTTGATACTGCTCAGTGCTTACATCTATGTGATCATACTTCGAGAACTTACTAACTGAAGTACAAATTCCAAACGAGGAATTTTCCACATTAAGAGAAATTACAGAGCGTTTTTAAAAGATACTAACTAGTGTGGGAGAGCCATGCTTCGGCACGAATGGGCCGGCTCGACCAGAGTGATACCACGGTCTCACAAAAAACCGACGTGAAGCAACGCTTGCATTGTATTTCGTCGTGTGAGTGAGGTTACCGGAGGCCCAATTCTCCCCTTCCCAAATCTCCCCAATTCCTGAATCCCCAACGATCCTCAAACTCCTTATCCCCAAAAAGCCGGTAATGCACTTGTAACGCCTCTGGTGTTCCAGGTGTCCATGGGCGACGCCGATTGCTTACCATCAGGTGATCTGTCTGCTAGTTTACCGGCTTATGCCATAAAAAAAGATACGTTTTAACGGTGTCAACTTTGTTTTCGTAATGAAACCGTATTTAGTTCTATCGATCTCAACAACAGTACAATTTCCAACCCATCTTTATAGAGATTATGGTCCATATATTCAGAGAAGGAGACTTCTCTGAATATATAGTTCAATAGTGGTTTGTCAGAACGTCGCAAGCTGTTGATGACCTGACCTGATTTTTTGTTAACCTATTTCATATCATTGTTACAGTTACATCACCGGGGTCAGCAGGCAGCCTACGAGTGTGCCAATTTTTACTATTACTGCAAATAATTGTTTGGGCAAACAACACTTAGGTACAATAAATTATTATAAATATAAAATAAAAATTGTATAAATTATAAAATAATTGATAAATTATAAATAGGTAGATGTATTCGATAAAGTCGGATGAAATTGTGAATTTAAATGAAAAAAATAGTTAATTGTACCTAACGAGCTAATGACTATGCCAAAGAATGTAAAGACTAAGATATTGTTGATTTAATACAAATTATATATATGTCAATGTTTGTTTTATTTCACATCTAACAATAGTCACACAAATAAATCTTAAACTGCCTAACACCCAACAGGCTAACAACGCACTTGTATCGACTCTGGTGTCCATGGGCGGTGCCAATTGCTTACGATCAGTCTACTCGTTTGCCAGCTTATACTATTAAAAACCGATTCTTAAATTAAAAATATGTTTATCATACAACGAAGCCTGATGTCAAATAAAGGAAAATATTGATTACACTGTGAACTCTGTCGCCATTGCAAAATCGTATCGGGAAAATACGAATTAATAGGTACCATAGTAATAATATCGACATTAATCTATATCTATCTAAGAAAGTCGTGTGAGTTACACCACTTATAACTCAAGAACGGCAGAATAGATTTGGCTGAAAATTGGTAGGGAGGTAGCTTAGAGCCAGGAGACCGACATAGGATACTTTTAAACCAATTCCTTTTTTTTTACTTTTTACCGAAAATCACGAACGGGGACGGGAAAAAATGGGATTACGCGTACGAAGTCGCGGGCAGAAGCTAGTTATATTATAAAAAAAATCAACGATAATGTAAATGTACCTTTTTTTTTTAAAAAAAACACGGCAAAATATCATCCTACATATAACCATTAGAAACACAAGACGGCTGAAGAATTAATTCTAGGAAGAAGTAAGTATGAACATGGAAATATTGTTTAATATTATTGGTACGTACCTTACTTACGTACTTATCACCTTATGTTGTGTTCTCAGAAATCTGTTGCTAAGAGAAATATGTTAAATATAAAACACGATAGATTTTCGTCTTTGTTCCTTAAAAGATACGTACTAATCTACCTTGAATCGTTCATGGAGTGGCGATGGCAATTTATCAAATTTGATTTAAATTTGAGATAGTTATTAATCCAATATACCTAATATAATATTCTTTAATAAACTTTTTACAATAATTTAGTCTGCAAATAGTACCTATCTTCTTCAAACTATATCAATCTTTAAATATCAGAAACTTGCGATCCGACCCAGCTTCGCACGGGTTCAATATTCATGTATTATTGGCCATAGATATAGAAGAAAGTTTTGAGATTTTTACTGTTACCTGGCTGATATACATAAAAACTTTCCTTATGAATCACTCTATCAATTTAAAAAAACCGCATCAAATTGTGTTGCGTACTTTTAAAGATTTAAGGACAAAGACGTAGGGACAGACAGACGACGGGTAGCAACTTTGTTTTATACTATGTAGTGATAATTAGTAAGAGGAAATCATTCCGTATAATAACATCGATCTCCGTGGGCTCTGCAAAATATAGTACATACATAGAACACTAGGCTCTTTATAATAAACAAACAATATGGTAAGTACAATTATATGATTTCTTGTTCATAATATGACAAATCCGTTAAGAAAAATATATGGCTATGCAAAACATTCAGTTTTAGTATGATATCAATGTAAATTTGGATTTTGTTCAAAATGCATACCATTGTTGGCCTCTGCCTCTGCCTCGTTGGCCGAGTAGTCGCAAGTGCGACTGCCGGGCAAGGGTCTCGGGTTCGATTCCCGGGTCGGGCAAAGTATTACTGGGTTTTTACAAAATTTTCAGTTGTAGGACGGAGTCTGGAATTGTGCCCGGTATATGACAATAGGCTCACTCCCTATTACATGGGACTCAAAATATAAATAGTGTACAATGTAACATTGTACAGTGGCATAATGTATACTGTACTTACGTACTAATCTGCATACCCCTTCGGGGAAAAAGGCGTGATGATATGTTATATTATGCATACCAAATAATCGATTTCAAAAAACAAAACCTGAATTTGAACACCCCTCAATTCTTTTAAATATCCAATTCCTCAAAATTCAATTCCATTGCCTGTTTTGTACGTCAATACGAAAGACCAACGAAATTGAGGAGGAAGTGTAATTAAAAAGTTCATTTGCTACGGTTTCAGACGCGATGGCTTTATTGCTTCGCGACAAACAAGTGCCTTCAATACATGGTGTTTGATTGAATTTTTATTATGTGCTTTTATAGTGCTCTTTAGAAATGGAGTATCTTCTAGAAATTGGCTGTATATTAGCAAAATGGTTAGTATTCTAGGATATGCATCCCCATCATATAGATGGTTGGCAGGCCACAACTTTGCGCTTCTCACGATGCTTTCTGCCTCGTACAGCAAAACTGTGGAATGATCTGTCGTCGGCGGTATTTCCGAACCGATACGACCTTCAAACCTTCAAGAAAAGAGCGTATTCCTTTTTAAAAGGCCGGCAACGCATCTGTGACTCCTCTGGTGTTGCGGGTATCCATGGGCAGCTTGCTTACCATCAGGTGATCCGTCTGCTCGTTTGCCTCCTATTCAATAAAAAAAATATACTTTGAATTCTATTAGTGATCTAATTGGTTCAGTAGAAGGTGAGATAGTGAGAGTAAAACAAGAGTGTGTAGTTAAGATTGTTCCTATTTTGTGCTGTTTAATACTAATTCTTACCTTCTAGTATTCAAAGAGTTCTGTTGAAATGCATGTGAAGTGTTGAATTACTTTGCTAAAATGTGGAAGAATAGAATTGTTGTGGACAGATTTTTGTGTAATACGTGTATACGGCTTGTTAAATATTAAAGCTATACAGATAATGAAATTGGAATGTCTCTTTGTAATATTATAAGAACCGCTTTTTGCTACATGCATATGAATTTACAAAACATAATATATACATACCAAAATAGCATTTTTTACAATTTTTGTCTGTTTGTACTGGCTAATCTCTAGAATGACTGGACCGATTTTGCAAGACTTGAATTGGCAGGTAGTTGATGTACTAAGGAGTAACATAGGCTACTATTTTTTTGGAAAATTGTAACAAAAAAAGATATTTTCAAAATTTTGATTCTACGCGGACGAAATCGCGGGTAACAGCTAGTATAATAATAACATTATAAGTCATTCACGTCACAAGGAATAATGTACAATACGTAGTTTTCAATATTAACAATTTTACAGTCACATAATATGCTGTTATGTATAGTAACAGACTCTATACGACACGACATTGACATAATCCAAAAAAAAAAAAACTAAAAATAGTCACCAATTTTAAACACATATATTAAAGAAATGTTGGAAATTCCAGCTCCGAAGTCCATTAAGACCTTACACAATTTAATGTAGGTAACGTCAACTGGTGAAAATTGTCGACCTCTTTACGAAGTTAACGGACTGAATAATTTGGTCAGTCCTGGATCACGGCTGTGAAGTTTGGAGAATAATCTGACTAAAGAACATTGGCCTAGATACGATGCTAATGATCTAGGAACTTAA